TATGATTAGGATCATTCCTACAAAAGTTTACTGCTTAATGAAAGCAAAGGGCTCTAAGACCAGCCAGACAGAGTTTTCTTATATGATGAGGTGGAACAATAATAGAGTTACAGATTCCTTTCTCTTTCAACTTCCTATATGGAGAAAGTGTTATCATCCCTTGCTCTTTTATACAAGATGGAGATACCATCTTTGAAAGTAAAATAACACACTTTTGTAACCAGCACTGTTCTTTACATACTTCTTTCATTCTTTTCCTAGGGGGAAATTGAAGAAGACATGTAGAATACACCTAACTCTTTTCTTTCTTTGATGCAGTTTAGCAGAATGGCCTGCCTAGTTCAAAAATGTGGTATGAGCTTGTTTGATTACTGCGTTTAGTGGCATTATATTAGATAAAGTTGACTTTTTTCAACTTTATCACTAAGACATTTATATATAATTTTGTTCTTACCCAGTCATCAGTTAAGGTGGTATATTTGTGATAAGCATGAGAGGCATGGAATGAGAGTCAACACAGATGTAACACAATTTTATATTAGAATTTATAAAGCACTTTTTCATATACGGTCTACTCAGTTATTACCTTACCCTTGGATAATGTATTATTTTTACAGAATAAACAGCTGGAGGATTTACCCAAGGTCCTAAGGCTAGAGCTGACAATGTCATGGCTTAAATCTAGGTCTTCCAACTCTGAGTACAAGGAGTTTGTCTATTTACACTGAATAGAGTAAGATAATTAACAAAATAAACATAGGCTTTGGAGTGAGGTATCCCTGGGCCAGTGCTGCACTTAATACCTCTGGTGCCATCAGAAACTTGCTTAACATTTGAGTCTCAATTTTCTCATTTGTATGCTAGGTATAGTAAGGAATTATATCTACTTCTTGGAGATATTCAAGAAAATTAATGAAATGATGTATTCTGAACATCATGCTTGGACCTTGTGATCTCAATAAATAGTCATCATGGACAAGTACACAGGCAGTGATGAGGCAGTGGACTGGCTGCTGTATCTTCATACTTCCCACTCCAAGTTATGGTGGTATTTTTTTTTCTTTGCTATTTGACAGCATGGTATGATTCCTTCAGAAGGAGAAATGGGCATGGAGAGGATTAGGCTTTGAATATTTATTGAAGAAAAAAGAGGTGGCATATAGAGTCAATGAGTTTGTAATAGGCTAAAATTGAGTAAAGGGATAGAAAAAGTCAGAAGAACTCATTGTAGTAAAGATGACCATTTTCAAAAAGTATGTACAACTTGCAGCACCACTGTATGCAACAAAGAAGAATTTGGCCATAAACACAGCATATACTATCAGTAATTCAAGTTACCAGTCCTAATACCCATGTTGGTCACTCATATATTCCCAGTTGTCTAAGATGGAATATAGTGATTTTTCATGAAGCTAAATTTATTCAGCTTAAACACCTGTGCTTTATTTTGATTTACCATTTCAGCTATTTTTGGATTTTAGAATGTTCTTTTCTTTTGGAAAGTAATAGTGCTAAGTAGTTGATAGATTCTTTTGGGTCCTTATTAGACAAAACAAAAAGTTAACAAACATATGTCTGCAGTCCTTGTTGACTAATATTTATTTTGAAATCCCAAAGTCTAAATATCACTGAATCAATTAATCTTTAAGTTTTCTTACACTTTTTTAGAACCCGGTCTCCTAGATATCAAACAATCTACACAGATCATTCAGTAGATACCGAGGAGAGCATTTCCAAAAAGATATCAATGTATCTAATTCCCAATAGTTCATATTTTATACAGAGGCCCAATTCTTGTCCCTTAGGAAATTATAATCTAAGACAGGACAGAGGTGCATATTGTTGTCATCTAGTACACAGAAGATAGAAACATCAGTCTAATACATAGATTAATAGTGAGCTATCCTATACTCTAAGTAGACCAGAGGTCCAGTCACATCATCTTGGAGTTAACCAGGGATATCTGCAACTCCTTACATGTTACTGAATTGATTTTTCTTTCTCTTGTTTTCCTGAGGCTAGATATGACTATAGAATTTTGGCTATACTAAAGTAGATTTTCATCATCAATTAAGGAAATAAGTGCTTTTTTGGGTAGCTTTTGATTTTAATACCACCACTGTTGTTTAAATATGAAATGACTCCCAAAGACACATGTAGTGAGGGCTTGATCACCCAAACAGCAGTGTTCAGGGGTGGGGCCTAAAGAGGTGATTGGATCATGAAGGTGCTAACCTCATCAGTGGATTAATTAATGAGTTCATAGCTGAATGAGATAATAAGAAATGGGCCTGGTTGGAGGAGTTAGGTCACAGGATGTTCTGCTTCATCTGAGGCACAGAAGCAATGGAGCCATCCAATCATGGATTGGAACCTCTGAAACCATAAGCCAAAGTAAATTTGTCCTCCTCTAAATTGTTATCAAGTGTTGTTTTTTTTTACAGCAACAGAAATCTGCCTACACTACCACATACAAATTCTGATATAAATATTAAATATTAGTTAAAATAAATAGGTCACAAAACTATTACAGAGTAGCTGAGTCAGTAAAATTTTGAAAACTCATAAGTAGATTCTCATTATGCTTAAGTTAATTCTTACTCAGAGAAGTAGTTTTTTTTGGAAAGGTACATTCACTTATAGACATCTAATGTAAGTGATTTATTTCATTCAAATAATCCTAATTAATGTGGCTCCTGAAAGTCATTCAATAATAAACCAGGGAATATGTTAGCCTTTGGAAAATCTGGCTTATTTAAAAAAATATGTAATTTGAAAACAAAACAAAAACCACATAATTTGTTTTAATTTTGAATATAGTAAATAAACTAATGGCTTTGTGAAATAAATATTTCCTAAAGGAGATGGCCAGGAAAATGTTAATAACTGAGAAAAGAAATTACTGAACAGAGATCCAAAACACAATTTATTGTGACAAATAAAAGTGTTTGATTTTTCATGTTCTTCTTGAGAGCAGTATATGATTTTCAATGTGATTATCTTGATTTAATATATTATTAGTATATTTCATAGGCATTTATCTAGTCCCTACTAAGAGTTTGGAGATACAAAGATAATAGCCTTTGTTCACCAGGCTTTCACCATCTCTAGGAGGTTCTTAGTATGCATTTATAAATTACAATAGTTTCTATTGGAACTCATACCATACCACACACCAAAAGATATATAGTTACATCTTTTAAAGGACCTAGGTATGTTGGAAATTTTAAGGAACCGAGAGAAGCAAGTGTTAGGGCTGGAGCCAACATCTAGAACATGTTACAGCTTGATTTTTAAAACCATCTCTGAGGGATAAAACTTGGAGTTTCTTTTTCCTTTTTCTCATTTTATATAGTTGTAATTTTAGAAGGTCCTTATAGCACATCCTAGTTCAATCAAATATTACTTCTCTATTTCTTGGTGGCTTAGGTTGGTAGAGGCTCCTCTGGGAACATCAGCTTCTCAGGGAACATCAGCTTAAGGTTTATCTATTCCAGCTCTTTAATCCTATCTAGCTGAGGAGAGGGGAGCAGTGTGCTTTTAGTGTTTGCTGAACTCTGAGATTGCCGCTTGCAATCCATCCCTGGGGAGAACCTATGATCTGCATATATATTTTGTCTGTCTAATGCCAAGGAAGCCCTGGAATGCTTCTGTGTACCTACACTGCATAAAGCAGTTCTCTTCATCTGCCAAGTAGAAGGCCTATTTTGTTTCAGAAAGAAGTGAAAATGGGGCCCCACAAAAAAAGCAAACTGCACATGGCCCCTTTTCCACACTCTAAGAAGGTTACCAAGAGCACAATCTTTCAATTGTGATTGGGAGTTTCATGAGCTGGGTGGGTAGTGCACCTTGCATCTCTTGTATCCAGCTATGTCCAACCAGACTAGCTTTGACTAGCGGCCGAATTTTAAGCCTCTATAGGGTCTTTCTGTTCTCTTCTGGAACCATAAAGATGCATTTCCTTATAGGAGGGCTAAGTCCAAGGGCTGATTTCAAGGAAGGTCAGCTCAGTTTGTGCAGTGGAATAGAGTAAACTAGGCATAGCTCAAATGTGCATAAAGCTGCCCTGATTAAGCCCAGTCCATATTGCTTTGATAGCCAAAGCCAGCATACATTGAAGACCCCATGACTGTAACTCCTTTGCTGCAGCAAGAACTAGCAGAGCCATGGGGCAGACTGGTTCTTTTTGCTTGGGGTGGAGAAGTGAAGCCCTTTGACTTGGTCATTCTGTGTTTTATTTCTGGCCACCTTTTGCCCTATTGAAGTCAGAGGATGCTTCTGTGTGGCTATTCAGCACTCCACAGAGGTCCTAGCTCTTGGTCACAGAGTCTCCCTCTGCTTTGGCAGGAATCACAGTTGCCCCTGGCCACAAACCCCTTTGCAACTTAACATGCCTCACTTTTGCTACTTCAGACCTAAGAGAAAGACCTGGAGTGGGGCAGAATGGGATGATATGCTTGAGCTGTCCCAACAAACAGATCCAGGGTCCATTAGAAGTTTAACGCCTGTGTCAGGGCAGGAGCTTAAATAACCTCCGTCAGAGGCTCTGAGGGAGGTAAGTAAAATCAAAGACGTCCTGCCCCTACCCAAGATGTTACCACAGTCTGTATTGATCCCACTGTCTGCTTCCTGACCCTAGAGGGTTAAATCAGGAGGGTACAACACCACTCCTTCCTCCTACTTCCCGCCTCCCCATACCCCTTACCTTTAAAAAGTTAAAAATGTCTGCAGTCGAAATCTCTTAAAGGGGCGGTGCTGGTGAACGAGTACTCTTGGCACGAGTTGCTGAGAAGGCTGGCTAGGGGCGTGAGTTCGCTCCACCAGCACCAAAATACTGAAGGGGAGAGAGAGAGAGAGAGAGAGAGAGAGAGAGAGAGAGAGAGAGAGAGAGAGAGAGAGAGAGAGAGAACGGGGGAGGCAGACAAACACACACTTTAGATAAAGACAATTAGTCAACAGCGAGACCCAGTAGGGAGAGAGGTTTAAATCAGAAGGATTTAATGAGAGTGCTCTGTGCCTTCCCTGAAGCCATGTCCTCCAGCAACTCCCGCCCCTCAGCGTGCCTAGCCCCGGTGGCTCTCTACTTGGCTCTGTTGCTCCAACTCTCCCTTTCCTCCCAAGCTGGAGACAGGAGACCCTTGCCTGTAGACAGAGCTGCAGGTTTGAAGGAAAAGACCCTGATTCTACTTGATGTGAGCACCAAGAACCCAGTCAGGACAGTCAATGAGAACTTCCTCTCTCTGCAGCTGGATCCCTCCATCATTCATGATGGCTGGCTCGATTTCTTAAGGTAAGGCAGGGGCTCCCATGGATCATTTTTAATTTTTAAAGTAATCTCCACTCCCATTCTCTTCCTATCCCCATTCTGAAGGGGGAAGAAGAAAAAGAAGAAAATAAGACAAGCGGACTTCTCTCTCAATGAGGAAAAAAAAAGGTTTTTCCTTCTCCTGGAATATATGCTGTGAGGCTGTAACTAGTGATTGAGAAAAGCAATGTTTTCTATTAAGATGCACATGTTTGCAATGCAGAAGGCATTTCAGAAACTTATCAGTTATGACTGAAAAAATGTTGTGCTTACATATATTCACAATTAGCTTCCCCTTCTTCTGAAAAAGGAAGAAGAGGTTCAGTGCAGTTACAAAAGTGAAGAAAAGGTCTGGAGCAACAAAGACCCAAGAGGAGAGAGAGAGAGAGAGAGAGAGAGAGAGAGAGAGAGAGAGAGAGAGAGAGAGACAGAGACAGAGAGAGACCCACACACAGAGAGACAGAGACAGACAGGGAGACACGGAGATAGAGACAGAGTTCAAATGAGGATTGCACAAAGTGAAATTTTCCACAGAAAGATGGTTTTGTCAGTTATCCCCCACCCCCCGACAGACAATGAACTTATGGAGAAGCTTGAGCGGTGGGCAGGTCGGGTCTGAGATTTAGTTTTATTTTATAGCCTCCGCTGTCATCTACAGACTTCAGAACTTTGTTAGGAGTTTTTTATAGACAGAATATCCTCCTTTCCCCAGTTCTTCCAACTTAGATCTCCTGCAGTAACGGCATCGTTTAGCTTTTCTTTAAAGAAAAAAAAAATCCTCGCTGGGGTCACAGCATACAAAAGGGGAGCGGTAATGGTCCCAGAAATACTCGGGGGAGGGGGTGTGGGGGGTAAGTTTCTGTGGTTTGAACCCAGCACCTGTGGATTAGCAAACCCGGAGGTTGCGATCCCCTTGGAATCAAGTTGAGCTCACCCTCTCCCTGGGTTGTTACTGTTCCGCAGTTAGGCAACCGCGATCCCTTTCCATCAGGGACAGAGTTGCAGTGTAAAAAAAGAAATAAATAAATCGTCCGCAATATCGAATCCAAGTGCTGATCTTTAAAAGTTCTTTCCGACTGGAAGCCTCAGCAGTGGGCTCCCCCAAGAACCCTGAGCGCTCTCCATCCTACTCCTCTGCTTTGAGGCCGCGTCCTCTGTGCGTCTTTCGTATTTCAAATTCTAAGAAATTCGAGTTTTGCTTCTCCGGGAGCGCCCGCCCCTCAGCTCTACAGGTCGCTTCCTGGCCTCGGCTGGGTAGGCAGACACGGCAGGTAGCTGTAGGCGCCACGTGGAGCGCTCCTTCCACGTGGTGGTGGTGGGGATCTTGTCCGAGGACTGGGTGGTTGTTGCCACTGCCTCAGGGGCTGTTTCAGTTCCTGCGGGTGCAACTGCTAGGAGGGCGGGAAAAGCTTTGCGCCGCCGGGCTTCCTCCAAGAAAACTCTTCTGTGTGGCAGAGCGCGTCTCTGAGCTCTTCTGAATGCAGGGTGTGACAGGGGCTTTCCGAAAGCCTCACTTGCTTTTCACTCTTCCAGCTGCGCGGACTCTTTCAGGCCCCTCTTTTCCCCAGTACCAGCCTGGTCTCGCTAAATACTTGCGTGCTGCAGAAAAAATTCCGGAAGGCAGTTTCTCAGGGAAGAAGCCTTGGTTGGGTGCATCTGCGTTGGCTGTGCAGGCTTCTGGATGGAAGGTTGTTGGGGATGCCAGGTTTCCCTGGGGTCCCACCAGCTCAGACGTCTCCTCTGTCCGAAGCCGTCCCACGCGACGTCCTAACTGCGCGCGCACTTGAGCTTGGTCCTGGAGTCCTCAGCCAAACCTTCCTTCTGGCCACCGGAATTACCAGGGAAGCCACATCTCTTCTCGAAAACTAAAAGGGAGGCGCCGTTTTCCTCTTTTGCATTCACCTCCTTCATGATACTCTTTAACTTCTCCATTTTGATTTGAATTTTCAGAACTTGAAAAAGCAAAGCGTTAAAAAATAATTTACAGACTCGGGACTCAGCAGCCAATCACCTTAGCACTAACAGCGTCTCTATGGCCCCTTCCCAAAGTAGCAGCGTTTGGCTTTTTAAAACCTATTGATGGAAATCTTGAACTTCTAAATGTAAATGTTATTGTTGTGGTGCTCTACGAATTTCCCCGAACGCGCAGGTTCCGCAGTTCTCCAAGCTTGTCTTCCTCAGAGCTTTCGAAGAGCCTCAAGTAGGAAGGGAAAAAAAGAGCTCAACTCGGGGTAGGGAGAAAGAGGTTACCTTTCTTGAGATTAGGCTGAATTATTTCAGGGATCAAAGAGACATTGCTTTTACTGAGTGTATGGGGGAGATACGTCCTCGGAAAGACAGGGATTTATCCCCGGAATTTCTCCGCCCTGGGATTTGAGAAATAATACAATTGTTAAAAATGTAAAGTAAAACCGATTTGGCATAAAAAAAAAAAGTCGGAATCCTCTTGACCTCAGGCACCAGGCCTGTCCGAGGGCAAGAAAATAAGATTTCACTTTCCCCACAGAGGTTGGGGTGCCCCTTGCTTCGGGGAAGTTTGGCAGTAGCCCCGGACCCGCGGTCGTCCTAGAGATGTGCATCTCCACAGGGAGTGTTTTCCCTGCAGTGGCAGAAGCCAGGCAACTGCGCCTTGGCCTCCCTTGGTCTCATGTTCGCAGTGCCCCCCAAACCCAAGCACACACTTCGAACAAACACAATCTCAAACTCTTTGGAAATCAGCACCTTGAGCATCAAGGTGTCTGGGAGGGGGCCTCTGCGGGCGGCTGAACAGAGAAGGCGCAGCGGGGCCGGGAATTGGGGGAGGAACCGAGAGGTTAAGGGCAAAGCGGGCTGGGGGTGCTGGGCACACTTGGGTCGCGTGGGAGACGCCGCGGACTAGCAGGGGATCCAGTGCGGACTACGGGCTCGGTCCGGCACGGAGCTTCAGCCAGGTCTTCCGAAAAGAATGAAAAGAGGGCCTAGCTCCGTGCCTTGCGCGCTCTAGCGTTCTGGGATCCTTTCCTCTCTCCTTCTCTACCTCTGCAGCTCCAAGCGTCTGGTGACCTTGGCCCGGGGACTTTCGCCCGCCTTTCTTCGCTTCGGGGGCAAAAGGACCGACTTTCTGCAGTTCCAGAACCTGAGGAACCCGGCGAAAAGCCGCGGGGGCCCGGGCCCGGATTACTATCTCAAAAACTATGAGGATGGTGAGAAACGGTCTCCATTCCTGAAGGGTGGGAGGAAGTGTGTGTGTGTGTGTGTGTGTGTGTGTGTGTGTGTGTGTGTGTGTGTGACAGATTTGGAGGAGGGGCTGTTTGAATGAGGCTTCTCTGAAAAATGGAAGCCAAAGGTGCAGTCCCAAAGTGTGAGAGACTACTGACATGATTAAGCAAAGGGCACTCACCAGGTTGACCTTGTCCTGGCTACCGTCCTTTTGCTGCAGAGTCTCCAAGCTGGAAACTTAAAAAACTTTAGACAACTAGCTCTCAGGGGAGAAGATATAGTGGATTTCTTGAGAGAATTAAGCCAGGTGTATAGATTATTAAAGGGTGAGGATCACATTTTCATTCCTAAAATTCTAGGCCTTTTTGTTTTTCTAATTTTTTTCCTTATTGATATGAGCATACAGAGTATATGAGTGTCCTTTTTTGAAGCCCACTCTAAGATTTTTCTGTAATAATATCTTTTAGGTTGGTTCCTTGTTGAGAGAGATTTGAAACATCTCTGCAGTGGGTTCTCTCTCTTTAGGATGTCAAATTTCATTTTCCCCCTTAAGTTTAGAAATGGGATTGCAAAGGTCAGCCTTCTTTCCTGCCAGAATCAGATGAGTTAAGTGTTGAAAGGGCTTTGAAAACTTCAATTTCTATTCCAATATGAGAAGACAATCTTTTTAAGTTGAACAAACTCATTTTTTACTAGGGGAAAATGAAAATGGTAATTTAAAATTTTGTTTAGAAGATTTGTTAATATCTATGAACTTTCCATGTAGCTAGTGGAACATTCTTTTTTTCAAAGAAGTATGGTGGAAGTCGATGTGTCTTTAGCCACTGATGTTAAAGTTGAATAGAAGAGGCATTCGTGTCTATTGTTGGAAGACTATCTCTTTCCTGCTGTCCTTTCTCATTAATAAGCTGCAGTTTTATTTTTAAAGGGTTCAGGGACAGGTTTTCAGAGGCTATAGATGTTGTTATAAATTGCCTTTATAAGCCAGCCAAACAAGGAAATATCCTTTTGCTTTCTGGGATTTCACTGATTGGGACTTTTGGAGAGATATTCGGGTCTATTTCAAGAGTGGCTGGGGAACACTTTTAAAAAGTACCAAAATAGAGACAGAAGGAAAAGCTGAGTCTTTTTGACTTTGAAGTATGACTAGGACTTATACTTTTATAACGTTTGCCAAAGAAGGGAGGTGTTTAAGGCTATATCTTTTCATAGGTAAAAGGCATTGCTATGTAAATGTAGGTTGTAAGTAGATTTTGCTGTCACTCAGAATAAAATATTGAAAGGTAAAAGATAATCCTAAACAACAACTCTGATAGTAACTTGAGCCAGGGCCTTACAGCTCCCAGGGTCATTTGTCTTCTCTGTGATCAGACAGAGGGAAATATCAATAATTTTCCTGATAAGACAGTTTTTCTTCAAATCCATTCAAACTACGTCCTCTTTATTTTGTGGAAGAACTTGTCAGAACTCTAGGAATCACTATTAGAAAAAGAATTTTATAAGTTTAGAAGTTGACTTTTTTCTCCCAATTTTGTATCTAGGATTATATTACTGATTCATTGAGGGCAGTGAAATCTGCTTAAAATGAAACATGCAATTTGTTTCCCTTTGTAAAAGGAGAAAGTGGGGATCATGGGGAGAAAAGAAATTGGCAGAAGACAGTGTCTCATAAAACTTAATAGAATTAGAAAAAAATTGGGAATAGAAAGTATCTAAGAGGTCATTTTCAGTCTTCCCATCACTGAAGAGCCTAGTACAGGATCATTCTATATGGAATCTTTTTTTTTTTTTTTCCAATCTGGTATTAAATATCTCTAAGAATGCAGTTTTCACCACTCCTGGGAGTGAGAGTTCTTCTATCCCATAGATTTTTGCCTGAAAATTTCTCTTCAATTTTCTCTTTATAAATATGTTCCAATTCTTTACAAAGACTTCTATTTTTTAGACATCTGCTTACAAAATAATTACCGCTTTTGATATAGATATTAAACAAAAGTTTCCTTTTAGCCTTTTTAAAAAATCCAGACCACCTAGATTTAATTCTTTAAAAATTTTCTTTAAAGCAGTCCTGCCAGACACTAATCTGTTTTATTACTCTTAGCTGAACTCCTTTTTGATTTATCTCTCCCTGGTAATAAGATGCTCTGAACTATATCAGTATTTGGGGCTTTTACAAAGTTAAAGAAAGTAAGAATGTCCTATTTGTGCCCTTTGATGCTCACATATCCTCAAATCACCCATATTGTCTTTGTTGTTGCATGTTACATTGCAGAATTCATGGCAAAAATGTTTTTGGTATAATCTCAACAATTTTGCAAACATACTTCTTTGTGACTTTTCATCAAATGGTAACTGTTATCATCATAAACATCTTAAAATAATTAGGCCTTTTTAGTAAATGGCCCTGCAAAAAGCACTTGGCTATCAAGGGACCTTATTAAAACTGTATTTGCTTAAACATAGTACAGCGTAACAACATAAATTTGAGTAATAAAATACACCTAGTCCTACATTATGAAACTCAGTGAAAAAGAACATGGAATTTGGAGTTAGAAAGCTTACACTGAAGGCCAGGCTCTATCACATAGATATGTGTGGCTGTGGGCTTACTGGTTCTCTATGAGATATGGGTAATGATAATCTTTGCTATGCATTGCTTCTGTGAGGGTTCCAAGATGTAACCTGTGTAAAGTATTTTCTCAACTGCAAAGTACTATATGAAGACTAAAGGTACTTACTTTTATTAAAGGTAACTTCTGGAAATTTAAAATGTATATACTTAATGTTTTAAAGTGGGATTAAGGAGCGAATATGATTAGGTAAAACTGAAGGAAAGAGGTTGATTTAATGAATTATTTGTGAGGATTAAGAGCATATAGGAGACTTTAAGTCTTGCTGGTGAGAATCTAAGCTTACTTTCTCCTCTTTTTTTTTTGTGGTGATGACAGAAGAGATTAAACTTTAGTTTTATTATATAACAAAATGAAGCTTGGGCAAAAATGTTTTTCTGGTTAATTCATTTATATTGCTACTCTGATGAAATTTATTGTTGTTATTTTCTCTTGAATTAAGGCAATTAATAAGTCATGTGACTTCCATTTTGCAGTTACTTCTTTCAAGCACATTAACGCAGTTGTATTTTCTCTGACCTGGTAAAGTCATTGTTAATATATCATTTTGGTATCTTCTCTGGTTACTCCTTTAATAAATTACTTATTCCATTCTATGCTTAGACAGTTTGAATTCCATACAAACATAATGATAATGGAGGAAGCAAAAATAGGATAGTTCTTCATACCCTAGGAATCTTACCTTTCCCAACTTTCTATTCTATATGATGTTATGCTGTACTTGTTCCCAACAATTAAATCTTGGGCTAATCTTTTTGTTTTATATTTTGCTCCAGTCTGCCCCCTTTTTTTATATTCAGTGTGTTTTAGTTGCATGTCTGTTTATGACAATAATCATTTCTTTGATGAGGATGTATGCTATTTATTATATATATCAAAAGCCATCTTAATATATCTAACATTTTGTATTCATCAGGTTATTTTACTGAAAAACCTTGATTATTTTTTGAAGTGCTTATAAAAAATTTTAAACTCTTCAATGTGGCTTTCAACACTTTTCACATATTTGTCTCAGCTTTTTAAAACTCAGTTTTCACGTATCTTTTAATACAGCTCTCCTTGATTAGCTACTGTCTCCTGAAAGAACTTTTATTATCCCAACCCTATACTTTTGTTTAGCCGGTATATTTTTGCACTGAAAGTCATTCTCTTGGCTCTGTTCAAATCTCACCCCCTCCCTACTCAATTCTTAAAGACTCATTGCAAATATTCTTTATTTTTACAAAGCCTTTTTTGAACAGGACATTCTAAGTTTGTCTATTCTTTCTTGGGACTGTTGTAGCTTTTACTCTTTGTGTTGTTCTTTAGGCCTTTTCTGCCATATTTTCATATTTAGCTTTTCATATATATGTTTGTTTTACCTTTCCAAGTAGAATGCAAATTCTTTATTGGAAAAGACTTTAGCTAATTATTATGTGAGTGTCTAGCACTATATATGACACATGCAAGGTCTTCAACAAATAATCTTGGATACATAGTAGGTAGGAGCACTGTGGAACAATGTAAGAATGAAGAAATGAGTGAAGGCATATGTGAAGATTCTATTCACTTTTTGACTTTAATGCATATTCCCATGAAATGTATTCCTTTTTTTTTGTTTTTGTTTTCAAGACAGGGTCTGGTTATATGGTTCAGGCTGGCCTTGAACTCACTATGTATTCTGGGCTGGCCTCGAACTCATGGCAATCCTCCTGGCTCAGCCTCCCGAGTGCTAGGGATTACAGGTGTGTGTCACCACGCCTGGCATGTCTATTCTTACTGCTTATTTTAAAGACATTGTGAACTATTTTAATCATGTACTTATATCTTTGGTTGTTAAAGTTGTCTTGGCTTTGGACTGTGCATTAAATTTACTTTACCATTCAATTTAAAGTTTTGCATTGGAACTACAGCTTTTTAAAATTGTATCTGTTTCTTTTCTGCCTTTACTTTTGCTTTTCCTTGTTAATCTTATGCAGTTTTCAATGCTTCATTTTCCAATTATTGATATATCAGTGCTTTTCTATTCCTTTCAAGTATTTTTGTCTTCATTTTCTGTTATCTTTTCTCTTAGTGCTTCTAAAATTCTAGATGATGAATGCGAGTATACTTTATAAACTCTAAATTATGGTATAACTATTACTACTACTCTCTTTCCTCCAGGAAGTTTGCTCCTTTCATGGGGTTGAAATAGTTTCTATTCCCATTTCATCAATCAAGATACATGACATAAGAACAGCACAACTGCCAAAATATATATTTGCCTTGAACTTACCTTTAATTATCTCATCTTATTCAAGAAATATTTCTTGGAATTCATTTATATTAAACAAATATTCATTAATTACTTTGCATTTAGATTCATGCTGGACAAA